CAAATTCAAAATTAATTCAAATTAGAATACTGAACTATTCTGCGGGCTGTCTCTCCTCACTAGAGAAGTTAATTTGAAACACTCGTATCATGTGATTCTTTTGTTGCAAGACTGTTGGTGTCAGACAAGAAGTCAAAAATCCCTCGACCCTCCCCCTAGATCTGTTACTGGAATGTGGGAAGGGGAGAAGAGTAATACTAACTGTGCTGAGGATATAAGGAGTTTCATTTTGGTCAAACATAGTATTCACTATCATATTGGTGAGGGTCTCTGGATCAGGGGCAAGTCTCCCCCTGCAAAACTCTGTTTGTTACTTCAGCACCCTAATCCATGCACATACTTAATTTTAACACAAATTCCTACCTACTTCAAGTAAACATCTTCTCACAAGGCCCTCTGACCAGTGAAAGCCAGTTTTCCTCATTTCTTTTGGAGGAATGCTTCCTGAGATAAAACCATCTACATAGTCACAGTTGTGAACACGTGTAACAACTTCATAAGGTGGTTCCATTGGTTGAAAGATTTTGACAGACCCTGATAGATTGTCTTTGATGATCCATTCCATTACTTTAAGAAACTTTGCCATTTTAAATCTGTGCTTTTCAGGCCACTCACAGCTAAAGCCATTGTCATGTACAACTGGTAACTTGGCAGCAAGGTGACAGCTACCTTAAAAATAGGTAATTTTAAGACCGCATGTGGCTACTGACATGGCACAATTTTTATAGCATTGAAAAGAACTACAAGTTGTATAATTATGCCAGAAGGTAGTGTAACAAAAGATTTGTCTCACATGGAAAACAGAAAACCTGCCACATCCCACATATTTATGAGTGCCTTGTTCCACACGAGGAAGATGACTGAAGAATATAGCCACCAATTGACACTCAACAAAGAACTAAATGGTAAAAGATAATCATACCAATAATAATAATAATAAAAATGATGATAACAATAGTAATAGTAATGATAGCTATCTCAAGAACTTCACTGTTCCTCCATCAGTCTATCCTCTTGGCTCTGATAATGTTTTTACTATACTTCTTTTAATTTTGCTTGTTAATTATCAATCATTTTCTTATTTCATTGCAATTCCATTAATGTGAGACTTTTGTTTATCCAACAAGGCATTCAGCCTTATTGTATATTCTGCCATTGCGCTGTTCCATCATTCAATCAAATGGGATTACCCTGTTAAACTCAAGGTATTGTATTTTGGACCTTGCTTGCCTTGCAAATTTAGTGGCTCTTTTGGCCATTAGTTGCTGATTTAAATGGTAAAATGCTCTCTCTTCTAATTGATAAAACTTTCTTTAAAGTTTCCTAGATGTGCAGATCAAACCTCGTCATATGTCATCATCTCCACAACATATGTGGCTTCACCTCCTATAGGAGGCAATAGCCACAAAAAGGAATGTATATCAAGTTTATGATTTAAAAAGAACCAAAAATCAAAATAAGGGTAAGGAATGTGCAGTACTTCTAATGGCACTGGCTACATAAAGCACTAGCAATTTACAGAAATTGGGTACATCAAATGTTTTGTCTTCATAGTTATGCACCTCACCTTACTGTACCAGCTGTAACCCAATCCCTAACCCTCTAGCAATGCCCATGTGGGGGCTTTTGATAAGTAGCTTCAGCAGATCCAGGTGAAATACATGCTACTTATATAGTCATAAAATTAATAACAATGTTTCCAAGACAGTGCACTAGGTCTTGAGAGTTCACAGGTCTTTTTCAAGAACTTGAAAAACTTGAATGACTCCTTCAACATGGTCTCAACCTCCAAAAAGTAAATCATATCTCCTCTACCACCCACTTACAATTCATTAAGATCTTGAGAATAAAGGGAATGAGGTAGCTTTGATTGTTAAATGAATTCTCCTTGTTAGTAACAAAGAAAATGTGTAAAGGAGAGTATAGAGAATATGAATATTGATGTTGGGTAGAAAGGTTTAAAGCCTTACCACCAGATGCCTTTGCAACACCGGTTAGCTATGTGTGATCTAAATGATTACAGCGAAGTCACCCATACCTGAGCGAAGGTATCTACTTTGCATACAGCTCACTATATTTGTGCCATGGCGGAATTCGGCACTGATCATCTGCATGGATTGAAATGGACGAAAAAGCGAACTTGTGCACATGGCCATGTTCTGAGCATGCAGTTGCACAGCGGAGTTTA